CACAACAATGGTGGGCCGGGTTCGACCCAATAAAACAAATATATATATGTTTAAATCTTAGTGATTTCCCCGCATGTATTATTATTCTATTTTGTTTAATCTCAATTTGTTTTTTTTTATCATTTCAAAAAAATATGAATCCAGTACTAAAATACCTGGTTTTCGTCAAAACTTTCAAAAATACAAAAAAAATTTAAAAAAAGAAAAAAAATATTTTTGTGCATACAATTAAGTGTCTCAAAGCTAAAAAATCATATTGTGTATTTCATACACCAAAAAACAATGTTTTAACATGCATTTTGACTTGTTTATTAAAGTTAAGAGAACATTGATCAAAATTTCAAAAACAACGAAAATTTTATTTTGTTTTGTTTTACTATCAGGGATTATGAATTTATACATAAAACATACTCGTGATATTAAAAATTTATTTTTGTTGAGAACATAGAACAATTATATTTTACCCCATTAAGATAAGAACCTTCTTATAAAGGGGGTTTTCTTAAATCTTAGATAGACAAGACCAACAATTAAAAACCATAACAACATCTTAGATTTTATTAGATGATAAAGCAATGCAGCTTACCTAAGGTAGGGCGTAGTTTATGTGTTAATACCTTCCCTTTCACAAGCAGTCTCCATACCCCATCTCTTAGATCAGTTAGAGTTTCTAGTAACCAGAATACAAGGTGGCAACTCCTATTCAAATTTTACACTGATAAAAGATAAGAACATTTACTTAAATTTCAAAAAAAACAAAAATTTTATTTTGTTTTGTTTTAGTACCAGGGATTATGAATTTATACATAAAATATATTCCTGATATTAAAAATGTATTTTAGTTGACAACATAGAACGGTTAGATTTTACCCTATTAAAATAAGAACCTCTTTACAGAGAAGGGCTTTTCTTAAATCTTAGATAGACAGGATCAAGAATTAGAAACCATAACAAGACCTTAGATTTTATTAGACAATAAAACAATGTAGCTTATTCTACCAAATTTTTGACCCATGTTTTGATAAATTTTCAGAAAAATCCAAAAATAGCGTTCAAGTCGATTTTTACGAAGATCCAAAAAATATTTTTATATATATATTTGCATCATTTTAAGCATATTTAGCATTGTCTCAAAAGAATTTAAATTTTCAAAGGTTTTTGGAATGCGTTCAGCTTTTAATGTGTTATTTTTAAAATCACTAATTTTCCTCATTCAAGTCGATGTTGATAAGAAAAATTAGATTTACAAAAAAAAAAGTTAAGGGACCAAGTTTGAAAACCTAGCAATATTTTTACCTATAAATACTAGTCTCTACAACACACACAAAATGGGGGCAATTTTACACATTAAAAAATCCACAAAAAAACCTAACCCTAAACCATCACTTTTAGAGCCAATAGTTGCCCCCTCCTGCTGGCCAATTTTTTCCCTTCACAACTGCCTCTAACCCAAGCCATCCCCACGTCCTACACACCAGCCCTTTTTTTCCTGCACTATAGCCAACACTCTTGATATTCTCTCCTCTCCTAGCCGGCTTGATCTTCTTCTTCACCCATGGAAGTCAGCCGCCGCTACACACACCGAACAAGCTCCCCTCTCTCAGCCGCAACAGCACCTACAAAGCCATCCCCATCATCACTAGAACCACATACCAGCCTTTTCTGATGATATCTCCACCTCAGCACCATCAACTACCTCTCCCATCTTCATAGCAGCTCCAGCGGTTGAAGGCGACAACAGATCTCTTGTCCATCTCTGCCGGCCAAACCTCACAAAAGCCAAGCAGCCGACGGCTTTCTTGGTCATACAACTAACCACCTAAAACAGAGAAGGGGAAACAAAAAGGAAAAGAACCAATCTGTAGAGGAGCCAATTCAAAATAGAGAAAAAGAGAAAGACACAAATTTGAAAACAAAGGAAAGAAAAACTAAAATCGACTACCTGTTGCGTTTTTAGGTGTTTTGCAGGTCACATCGGTGAGGATGGGAAGAGGGGAGGAAGTTGTGACTGACCCCAGCTTTTTTCAGGGTTTTGTGCAGTGGCGTGTGAACCCCCGCGCCGCTAGTGGAGGAGATGCGTTGCCACTACTTTTGTGGTCTAGAAGGAGTCCCTTGCAATTCTTGGAGTTTTAGGGGCTATTTTGCAAATTTTAATTTTTTTCATGTAATGTTTTTGTTTAGTTTTGAATTTTTATTATTTGTAGTGTTGATGTAACAAAAAAAAAGAAAAGAAATATAGTGAAAGTGTATGTGTGGGTTTGTATTTTTTGTATGAATGTTTTTTTTTTATTTATAATAAAATTACAAGGAATAAAGAAGAATTTGATATTTTGATTTGCTTACGATTAAGAATTATAAACTTACACATAAGTTGTATTTCTAATATCCGATGAGAAGATAATTATTAGAACTTTTTTAACACATCAAAGTCATGAAGTAGCTTACCTCAGGTAGGGTGTGTTAGGGGCCCAACCAATCCCTTACTCTTGAATTTCTGACAAGACCAGTATATTCGGGTTTCCTAGTAGCCCTCGTTTAAATACTAGGTGGCAACTCCAATGAACCAATCAAATCAAACGGAATGAAAAATCACCAGCCAATGTCGTGCGGGTGACATGCAATAGAATGGCGACTCCACTAGGGAAGGTACTGTTTCTAACAATATTGGACTAAGCTTTGTGTATTTGATGTGTTTATGTTTTCATATTTTTTTCTTATTTTATTTTTCTTTTATCCATGTACTTTGTAGAATTGTCTCATGCATCACATTTCTTTATTTTTGAAAGCACACACAAGCTTTTAGGTTAGGTGGGGAATTAGTGATTTGCCCTATAACTATGGGTCAGGGTTGAGATGTGTGGAAACCCAACTCATATCTAAGTGCCTGCTTGGTAATGGTGGGTATACGTACCTTAACAATTTCTTGCAACACCCCTATACTATCTTTACAAAGATCGTCACTTGGCAGATATGAGACCTTTTTTAAACTAGGTAGGAAACCTAACCATGTTCACATAATGTATAGAATATTATTTTTTATTTGCATCAGGGCGAACCCTTCTTGAAGCAACTTGAACTCAAGACTTATGGATGACCTAATGGTTGTCACTAAGAAAATTTTCATTGTAAAGTTTGGGCAAGAATCACGATTCTTGTTTCATCATACAAGAGTTATGACCATATGTCACCCCTCGAAGGGCAAGCTCATCATATAGATTACATGCTCATACATTTGTCATGCATGCATCGGGATGAAAAGTTGGTTCCCTCAATTGAGGTCTACTATACTGGACTAAAAAAAGATGGAAAATAAAGAAAGAGGTTGGTGAGAGATTGATTTTGAAAAGGAAATTGAGAGCATCAAATGTGAAGTAGTTATACTCGATCTGCTTAAACAAGTGTTGAACTTTAAGAATGGAAAGGGAATGTTTGCGCAACCTCTTATGGAAGCACTGTTAGTCCATATCCCACACAAGGAAAAATAATGAACTTGTTTTCTTAGCACTGCACCAGTAAAGGCTATAAACACGGAAATGGCACCACCTCTCCTTCATTTCAGTCATGAACGACAACAATGCCATTAGTAATCAATAAAAGACAATCTCTTTTTTGGTTCAGTCGCACTGTTAATTGTTCTTTGACTCTCCATCTTTCAATGGAACCCAATAGCTATCAACCTTTCATGCCATGAGTAGAGGCCTTCTTTCTAGCCATATCTACTATGAACTCTATTCTAGTCCAAAACACAGGATATTGGTATGAAAAACATGACTTTACATTGAACTTCAACGTGCTAGAGCTTTCTCGACTGAGATCTGTTTATGGCTCTACTAGTGGGCAATCCAAGAAGTAATGAAGTAGTTCTAGAAACTAGTGACAGAATTAAAACACAAAAGTAGAGGGAAGAGACATGACTAAATTGAAAAACATAAAAAAGACTGAAACTTCAATAGAGTAGAACTCCCTTTATTGGTGTTTGTTTGTTGCACCACCAATGAGGAATTGAAAAGGACATAAAGAGTTTCAGATTCATCACTTTTATAGTAAAGACAAGGCATGATTCCACGTGTCGGTAATGGTGATGTTGTGCGCTACTAAGATTACCTAACTGTTGGGAGGTTCCAACAATCCTCAAATAACATAACAACATTGGAGGATTGACATCATGTTGTTGTAAGGATTGTCCAAGTAATTAAACAAGATATGAAAAGAGGAAAGATTGAAGGATCTACCATGGATTCCAAAAACGTTATGAGAGTTGAATCAAAAGACGACTCTCAACTGAGAAACCTCAGTTATTTTCCCTAGTCAGGTCTTGCCATAACATCAATTGCTTAAATATCTTTGCCAAAATTGACGTCCCTCTACCACTCAATTTGTCTACCAGATTCTAGACTTGTTGCCTTAACTTCATTAAGTCATATGCAACCATTGTTTCCTAGGTGGTATAATCCAAACGATATATGAATATCATTATGGGTTCCTCAGCCATTTCAATTGAACAGTTGCAAGAATTTCAAGAATCGAGACTAAGTAATGGTGATCAAGAAGCGAGTTGAGTTTGTGAAAGATGATGTCATTGGCCATAATCACCAGAACAACCTCAGATTGACAAAAGATAAAAAATGCTTGGCAAAGCACAAATATTGCCAGAAAAGCTAATCCATGAATGGTGCTAAATTGACAATCATTTTGTTGTGGATTATTGCCATTGTGCATTTTGTTTTGGGGTCACATCTCATTTTTAAAAGAAACATGTCATTCCTTTGGCTTGTTGTTGTTTTGAAATCAAGAGATGCTTCTTTCAAAAGGGTATTTTGATAAAATATTTTGATCAAACTCCAATATGCAAAATTAAGGCTAGTTAATCCTAAAAGATTAAAATATTTTGATTGCATAAATGACTCAATATTTGTTAAAATGGCAAGATAAACACTATGAGGTGACTAAACAAATTTTGAGCTTACACATGAAATTGAACCACCCATAATACAGCTAAATTTTAGCAATATGCATAATGACATGTAGTGGATTCAGTAGTTATGGACTCACGAATCATGATTCTTACAAGTGCAAATCATTACACTGGATGAGGTCAAAATTTATTTGTTCTAACCAACCTTGCTTGAAATGAGAAAAGGCCATCTTTGTTCATCCCTTTGCTTTCTAAAAATATCTATCCCTTACAATTTCCATTTGAGCCTAATAGAATATTTCTTTTCAAAAGAAACCCTGACTAGGATCACACCCCACACTGGGGGCAAATAAGAGCTTTTTGTTAGGAAAGATGAAGACAATGTTAGAATCAATGGATGAGGGGAAGGCTAAGAACAAAAGTTCAACAATTGGTAAAAGTCTAACATATAGACTGGGGCATGTAAGAAAACTTTGAGGAAGGCTATTGAAAAAAAAACGAGTGGAAATTGCCAACACTTAAAGGCAAGTCAAAGATTAAGGAAGGAGAACACCTATCAAGTCATCAAGTCTAGAAAGAGCAAAATAGGTTTCAATTAAGAAAAGACATAACATATGCCAAAAGTCAATACTAGAAAAAAAAATATCGAGTTACAAACATTATCTTTTGGTTTCAATGATAAAGCCTCTAACGATTACATTCATTTTTCATCAAGGAAGAAGTTGGATTTTCTTTATGACCTAGGATAAGAGAATTCTGATATTTGAGGTTAATAAGGTTATGTGTCACTTTCCCTAGAAAGACA